CTCCAGATACTTGGATTGTTTGTGGGTTTTTGAACAGAGAATCTGTATCCTATGTTTTCTTTTTCTACTCTGCTGATTAATAGATTGTAGTAGATGCGCCAAAGCAATGGTGAAATTGTGTCTCCTTGGTCTATTCCTTGCGCTGGTTTAAAACTGTCTATAAGGCCGTGATATGTAATAACTCTTGTTTCTCTGTTGTTGATTAGGTTTTCTAGTATTTTGCTAATGGTTGATGGAACCTTGATTCTCTGTAGGGCCTTGCTTAGCAGCTTTGGGTTTATTGAGTTGTATGCTTTGCTGATATCCTGGCTTAGTATTCAGCATTCCTTGTCCAGCTCTTTCGCCTCTTCCAAGATGTTGTTGAGAATACTGATTGGTTCTTGTGTGCCTCCTCCTGAAAGTCCTGCCCAGTTGAGTGATGAAAGGATTTTGTGTTCCATTAGTATGCAACTTATTCTGTTATTGATGATTTTGGTGAATATTTTTTAATTGTTTCTAGCAGTGCGATTGGTCTTGTACAGCTTAGGTCATATTGTCAGTCCGCTCTCTTAGGGATTGGATAAATATTGATTTTGTTCCACTGTTTAGAAATTTCTGTTAATTCCAAGATTCTGTTGAAAGTTAGTGTGATTCTCTTGATATCTTCTCTGCCAATATGTTTTAGCATGGCATAGTTGAGCTTGGATCTTCCAGGAGCAGATTCTGCTTTTGCTTTTATAATGGTGGTCTTGACTTCCTCTTCTGATATTGGTTGTATTGTTGGGTCATACCATGTTGCATCAATTTTTGATTGTGGTACGTATTCTTTTTCTCATTTGTCCCAGGTTTCTTTGTCCAGGTTTATCAAATTTTATAATTAAATAATAAAGAAGCTATTTGTATTAAACTCTTCTTACTAATTTTTTTACCAATTCAAAAAATAAATATTTTTTAAAAATTTTTTATTTTTCAATAATAAAGTTTAAATATTTTCTTTAATAATATATATTTCTGAAAACAAAAGTCTTTTCTATTTGTTTATCTTTTCTTTTTTGAAATTCTTTGGATATTTCAATAACAAAATATTCAAAACTTACCTATTTGAATTATAACAAGAATACCCTATTAAAAAAAAAAAACTTGTTAAAAAAATACTCTTCTTTATTTTTTCTTAAAGTCTGAAATTTTAGAAAAGTTTATTAGTAAATGCATTTCTCAAACTTTATAAAAATCTTGAGTTTATTATAAATAAATATTTTTGCTAAAAGCAAATGGATAAGCTAATGTTCTGATTTATAAATATGAATATATAATCCTTTTTATCAATTAAATGTTCATAACAGTTTTCTTAAATATGTTAACAAATTTTCAAAAATTTTTGAAGAATTTTGTTTATTTCAATTTAATTTTGAATTTTTTGTTACATTGAATCTTTAGTTGGTAATTAATCAAAATTTTAAATTGACTGATCAATATGTAGCAGAAAAGTAAACAAAATAAATACTCTTTATATATTCTTGTCACATAATACAATAATAATAATATAATTATAAAAAGCAGAAGAGCAAAATATCATGATATTTTTTTAAATAGAAATAGTTTGGTATCTTTCTTTTTTTCTCTTAGACTAGTTTTTTTTCTTTTTAAAATCAAAAAAAATCTCATTTTAATTCAGTAACAAGTTTTTTCTATTGATAATTATTTCAAGAAAGCATTAAATATTTAGGTCATAAGACTTTATAAACAATAATTTCTATTGTAAATCTTGTTATAAGTATCTTGAACATTCTTGATTAACAATAAAATAGTAAAAATTAAATGATTTGTCTAGTTGCAGATAATAATAAAGAATTTATTCCAATGGATCAAAATTGATATTGGCAAGTTTTTATTTATTAAAACTTTTTGATTATTTTTTTTTCTTCTTATTTTTCTTCTTAAAAAAATAAACAAATTTTTATTTCTATAGAACTATAGCAATAATATAGGAATAACAGTCCTGAATGAGAACTGGTCATAATGTTTTGAACTAATGGAAATATTAGAATAAAGTTGAATAATATTTTCATTTTTCATTATTATATCTAAAGGTCTTAGGCTTATGATAGATGTGTTATATAACAATATAATAGTTTAACTTTATTATAGTATTTTTAATACAAATATATAAATGTTTTCTGACAAATAAGATTAATAAATTTAATAATATGCAGCCTAATTTGGAGTAAAAAAAAAAAAAAATTAATTATTAAAAATTTATTTTAAAATATTATAATTTATCTTTATTAAATATTGTAATTTTATTGTTAATAAATTTGATTATCAAATATTTTTAATTAAAAATATTTTTATTATAGAATTTATTATCAAATAATTTTTTTATCAAATAATTTTAAATATTAAATAGAATAGTATAAATTAAATCAAATAATAAAACTTTGAAATGAATTTTTATTAATAAATTTTAATTTAATTGACTATAATTCAATAGTCAATAATTTAATTTGAACTAGTATTAATTAATTATTATAAAAAAATTAATATTTAATTTATTGCAATTATATATATAAAATAATTTTTTTAAATAAATATATCTTGCAATTATAAATAAACAAAAAAATAGTATTTACTTATTTATAAAAAAATCATATAAAATAATTTATTAAAAAAATTTTTAATATTATTATTTCAATAAAATCAAATAGTATAATTAATTACAAATAATAATAATTATTATTATTATAAAAAAATTAATTTTAATTTTATTAAAAAAAATTTTTTTATTAATAAATAGATTAAATAATAGAATAAATAATAATAGTATATATATATTTGTATAATTTTATAATTTGATTTTTTGATTTTTCTTATGATTATTATTTTTTATTATAATTTTTATAAAGTGATACAATTAAAATTTATAGTACATTGTATATATAATATTGTAAAAATTATCTGTAAATATAATTTATGAGATATTTGAATTTTAATTCTGTCCAATAAGCAAACAACTTATAACTTTCATAAACGTATCAAGAATCTTATCCTATTGATAAACAAGTTAAATAAAATAGATTTATATAGAGACAATATCTTTTTAATCATACTGGTTTAATATAATTCAATAAACATATGATGCCAACCTAATTGTAAAATTAAAAAAAATAATTTCAATAACTGTATATGGTATATTGTAAAATTTTCAAATTTTTTTTCAAATTTATTATATTAATACACTATAAATTCTTTTTTTAATATACACATAAAATCAAGAACTTTAAATAATCGAAATTTATTACCAAATGTAAAATACATTAAAAAATTTTCAAAGAATTAGATTAAAGAATCAAGGGAATTACATTAAAGCAGTATATCTTTCGAATACTATGGATTCGAGAATTTTTTAAATGCAAGGTTTGAACTAAATTAGAGTGAACGTGACACCTCGATCGGTTTAATCACTGATCTTTTGAATATGCAGCATTGTGAACAAGTTGGGCACGGCCGGATGGATCTTCGGGGCAACCTTTCAAATTATTATATATATAAAAAACCATCTCGTCATTTGCAAGATCAAACAAACCAAAAATCAGAAATAAATAAATAAATTAATTTACCCCAGTCTTTCCTTGGAATCCACAATTCAACACTAGAGGTACATGCTTCTTGCGGGAACCAACTGTCAAATTGTTCCCTATACCAATAGGCTTCTTTAGTACGAGGAGTATCTTTGGGCCAACGTTGAGCCGCCGTTGCCATCTGTTCGTCGGTGACATGATTTTCCGCGGCCTCTTTAAGAGAGTCGATCCAACCATACCCTACACCGTCGGAAAATTGTTCTTTCTGACGCCAAAGTATAGAGTCGGGAAGATATGGATTCGGATCGGCAGTCGTCGAGACATCAAAGGCTTTACGAAGGATATACTATCAAAGTTAAACTCGTCAATTATCTCTTTCGAATTTCTCGGGTAAACTTCACACGGGGTAGATGCATGAAAAAATACGAGAAGTCTTACCTTTTCCATCCTCCCGTCTTTGAACATCTTCTCTTCAGGATCAATGGTCATGACCACGTCAAGGAAGTCTTTATCAAGGAATGGAACCCTTGCCTCAAGGCCCCAAGCCATTGTCGACTTGTTGGCACGCAAGCAATCGGCCGTGTGAAGATTTTTTACACGAGACACCGTCTCTTTGTGGAAGTCCTTGGCAGACGGTGCGGCATGGAAATATAGGTAACCTATAGCGTATAATCAAGTTTTAGGTGAGGAATTGCATAAATTTGACATTTGGCATGATGGGAAATGCGTGAAACAGGCGCGAGCGATTAATTACCTCCGAAGATTTCATCGCTTCCCTCGCCACTCAATACCATCTTAACACCCATGGCCTTAATCTTTCTCGATAGTAAATACATCGGGGTGCTAGCCCTGATGGTTGTGACATCGTAAGTTTCCAAATGATGGATGATATCATGCACCGCGTCGAGACCCTCTTGAATCGTGAAGGTGTATTCATGATGAAGTGTTTTGAGAAATTCGGCAACTGAACGTGCAGCTATCAGGTCCGGGGATCCGGGAAGCCCGATTGAGAACGAATGAATTCGGGTCATCTCTGTGAGGAAAATGGGCATCGATAATTAGTGATTTTCTTTCTGACATAAATTATGGGTAATATACCTACGATCGTCTAGATCGCCATTTGTTCTCCCGTTAGGTATTCCTAGGCTCAATTTTTTTGCTTCCCTAGATGCGATAGACGCGATCAAACTGGAGTCCAGACCTCCACTAAGTAAGACACCGTATGGTACGTCACTCATCAACCTCTTGCGAACCGATTTTTCCAGAGTTTCTCTTAGTAACGTGTAGTCGATAGGTGTCGTTGGTATTAGATCTTCATTCCACCATTTAGGTTGATAATACCTTGTTGTTTGTCCGGTCACTGAGTCATATATATGACCTGGTGGGAATGCAATTACTTTGTCACACTCCTCGTTGAGTGCTTTTAGTTCTGAAGAAAAGTAAATGGTCCCTGGAGACGAAGATGACCATCCCTGATATAGAGTGGTGATACCGATAGGATCGCGTGCGGCGATAAATCGATTTTTACGTGTATCAAGGAGGACAAATGAAAACATCCCATCGAGATGGTTGACGACGTCCTCTCCTATTTCCTCGTACTTGAAATAAAGAGAAGGAAATTTCGAACAGATATGAATAAATTATTTATTTGTTGCAAGAAATTTCCAGTAGTGTAATTTAATTACCAGGTGAAGGATGACCTCGCAATCTGAATGGGTTCGGAAATGAGGATTTCTTTTTAATTGTTTTTCCAAAATCTTGTGGTTGTAAATTTCACCGTTTACAGAAAGAAATATCGTCTCCTCATCATTGTATAAAGGCTGTGCTCCGGTATCTATAGAAGATAAGACATTCATGTTAACGGCTAATCAAGAATTCTTCGGTCGAAACAGGTGCTCTTGCTTACCGAGACCAACAATAGCCAATCGTTCATGACAAAGAATGTGATCCCCTAGAATTTTGCAACCACTCCAGTCAGGACCCCGATGTCTCAATCTGGAAGGCAAGAATATTTAGAGACCTGAGATCAGATTGGGTAAAAAATAAGAATTCACAAGATGCATGCATGCGTGCGTGCATACTTTCTGGAAAGCAACAAGGCTCTTGGGCGGAAGGCCTTGATATCGCCGGAATAATTGAAAACCGCAAAGATGCCGCACATAACACTTCGAATTATAGGTTTCTACAAGTCCAAATATGATGAGAAAGTGATTGAGGCCAGATAAAGAGACGAATACATTCAAAGAAAACTCGCGATACTTTTTTGATCAAGGTTTTACTCTGAAAAGATTTTGTTTTGGAAAATTGAGTCAATTCAGATGACACGAATGTGATCTCAATTTATAATGTTTTTAAAAGTATACAATGCGGGCCCTTGATAATCTGGTAAGGGTGACCCGATCCCAGAGATGATGATTATCACGGGGTCACCACACATGCGGAAAAATTCTGACCCCGCACGTTGAGATTTGCTTATTAAGCTTTTGTACAAGTAAGGAAATTGGAAATTGAAATCGACCCTTTATCTTATAAGGAACAAATGGTATGCCATTCCATAAACGCGAATCAAAACAACGTTCCGTTACACGTACAGAACACAAAACGGGTATTGAGACAATATACGTGGGAAATATTGTCATGCCCATGATGTAAAATTCGAGATGGGACCTTATTATCTGAAACGGGAACAATTTCGCAATTGCCGATTCATACGCTTTCCTAAATTGTACAACCAGATCTCTCTCATTCGATTGGACAGTTATAATCGAAGGTGTTACCCTGATTGATACCTTAGTGCGTTACTTTTGGAGGTTCTGCACGCGATGTGCAAAGCAATGATCCAATCCCAATTGTTTAAAAGTATTTCGTATTCACTCTAATAATGACTAATGATGATCAGCATAAGATCTAATCTTGATCAAACCAAACTCCCGGATGACCACCATTCCTTAGATTATCGATGAATGAAACTCTGTCGGTGACGAAATTGTACACACAAATGTGAGAGTCTTGCGACATCGAACACACACAGGATCGATTTCTAATAAGGCTAAATCATTTTGTCTACTAATCTTGAACGGCTCATGCAATGAGGATCATCAATCTTGACCGTGGCAGCTTGAATCATTTGGTGACGTGAACGATTTCCTTTTTTAAAAAACTATGGTTTTGAAAATCACTTAAATTTTTATTTAGAATACTGTACATCACACCTGTTTCTAGACAAAACTTTGTAACAATCTCTCTAAAATTAGCAACGACAATTATTCCCTACATACGCATCCGATACGATGACGAATCCCTTGGCCATATGAAGAATTTCACTGGTTCGGATAGACTCAATGTGCACTCAGAAATAGCACCGGTAATTATACCTCCAGCCGTTAAACGCATTATGTAAGTATCCACATCAGGTATGTCGGGTTGGTATTCCCGGACTATCCTGAGCTGAATGTAGGAAGATTCTGTATTATTTCGGTGCAAAAACGTTACAATAATTATGACTAGTTGTTTACGTTTGCACGAGAGCGTAAAGAAAAATTTTGAAGTTTACCCGTCCAAGCGGTTTGCGAAACATCGATTTGGGTTTTTAATTTATAATGATTGTGCCGAGTTGACACCAAACCGGAGGACGAGTTGAAGTGCTGTGTAGACTGATCCGGAAATATTACCTATAATGATTTTCAAGAGAATGTTCAGGTAAGGACATGCTCAATCGATATCAAGGAAAAAATCACGAACCTGGATTGCTAATGAGCTTGGATCGTTTACTTCATGAATTTCAGCCTCGATGTTGATTGAAAGGGGAAATTGCGATTGAAAGTCAATCGGCATTGTTGGATTGGAGGTTGGTTGAGTTATGATGGCTTCAGAGACTTTTATGTTTTTAATAATTCCAATGTCAAAAAGATTGAATTCCTGGGAGAGTAATCGATTCAATGAAACAATAACTAAGACATTCGCGTTAATTTATACATGAAAACTCTTCAAAAAAAATGAAATACCGATATGTAATCAAACAGCCGTGTAGCATTCTTGAAGCTTGGATCCGCCTGAAACTTTTCAAGTTTAGCTCGAACTTTATTCATCTCTTTTAATAATGTGTGACTCTCGAATTTTCTAGAAAAGCTGCAACGCGTTAATCTCGGATCCCTATCGCACATCACATAAAATGAATTTACCTTTCCAGATCTTTTATGCGTTTGTTGAAACCTCGAATTAACGTTTGCTGCTTCTCGGACATTCCGTTGCTGCCGAATTGTTAACATGTCAAACGAAATTATAATTAATTCGATTAATGAGAAATTTGGCAGGTGACTAATTAGAGCAAACCTATCAGACTTTTCCGTCATGCAATTGTATAACCAAATCAGGTGCGCAATTATTCGTATTTGGGACAGGAAATCCGGAACCGAAGCATTAAGTCCTAAATAACCATACTCCATGGTATAAGACAGCGCCATCAACTGCGACGCTATGTGCGGTTCGGTATACGAAGAATTTGCCTCCATGTAATGTTGATTAGCCTTAAGGAGGGATAGGTGTTAGTCAGAGAAAAAGAGTCGAGAGCACAATGAACGAGGTTTTTTACCTTGATCAATAGCCTTAAGCATTCCAAGTAGTTTATGCAGAATTTAGCATTACCGGCCAAGGACGGCACATGCGAAATATACTCCATATTGCTGTGATCAGTAGAGAGATGCGAATGAATTTTTGGGGAGGATAACTACTAACAATATATGATTCACACCTTTTACAAGACGTTATCACACGATTTGCAGACTTGAAATTTCGATATTTTAGCATATGACCTAAGGATCGGATTTCCTTTAAGGTAATACCCATGAATGACAGCATATAGTCTAATAGGAAAGACAAATTCTGAAATTAGCGGCGAAAAGGATAAACACTTAATTGCATAAATGTGTCAAAGCATACCATCAGTATCAGATTGATCGATCTGAACGGCTTGCGTGGGTGAATCACCTGAAATCTAAATAAAAGAGGTTCAGAGTCATCATCTCATTGTTGCGATTTCCATCGCACAAAAAACTGGCGAAATCTTACGTTTACATCCGGAAAGCAATCGGGAAATTTAATACGGAGATATTCATAATGACGACCTGCATAGTCAGGCAGCATAGAGAGTATTTTGGGGTTTGTTGTTGACGCATTAAATGCGAGAATCAAATTTCCTATGTCTAAATAAGACATCAGAATTATTATTATTTCGTGCAAGGTTATTTTATGAAAAAAAAACAAACAAAAGATTTTGCATACGTTGAGGATCATTTTGCTTGATTTCTCTGGAAATATAGGTCGATTCCATTTTAAAAAACATTGGCACATAGTATTCTACACCAGATGGGCTCAATGATTAATCAGAGTAACCAGAATAAGGATGTAATGATACAAGGCCTAGGGAAACCATACCTATATAATCCCCGTGCGCTAGCCCTACGTTTTTGAAGCATCGATATATTGACAACTGATCTTCAGGATACTTGTTCATACTGGATATTAGAAAGTCCACAAATTGGGGTATCAATTCTTGCGATTTTAACTTTGCTACCCTAAAAAAAAAAATGAAATCCAAATCACATCTCCACTTGACAATGAATTCGTTAATGCAAAAAAGCGAATAAATACCCTAACATTCCATGAGTCGACTTTCGAACCATGGGATCAGTATCGTTTAATACTCCAACGGTAATCTGCAACAACTCGGAATCGAGCTCGATCGGATATTTAACCCCGATCTTGTGGAGACTGTTAATTGAATTTAGTCGAACGGAATCAATTTCATCTTGGAACATATCTAATGTTGCGTAGCATGTGAAAGATATTTGAAGAAAGAAATGATTTAGAAACAATGACGAATATCGTTAAAACGCAATTCACCTTGAAATAAAGCCAATCCGTGAATCATTTAATTACCTACAAGAAATTCGACAGATTTTTTGGAAAATTTTTGATTGTACATGCATAATTGGCAAATAGAATCTAAATCGAGTAATGGATGGCCATTATTCGATATATTCATTAAGGCAATTAACATAAAATTTATGGAATATTAATGATAATACCGATGGCAGCATTACGAACGTCCTGATACGCATCTTCCAAACCATGAATGAATGCTCCACAAACATTAGATTTCAAAAGACGAAATTCTTCCGACTCAACATCCAAATCACCCTCGGGAGTTGGTATGAATCTGGACTTGTGAGAGAAAAAATAACGCAAATAACGTCACGACCAATTGAAATTATTTGTGCACTAATAATAATAATAATAATAATAATGATGATGAATTACTTTTTTATTCTTTCCGTAACCTTGATTTGATTTTCTAGATTTTCCTTGACTTATGACCTCCTGACTCAACGTTTCTAACAGAATTGTTTCTCCAACTTGACGATAACTTCCCATGATGGTGCAAGCCTGTTTGGAAACAAGAGCCAACTTGAGCATTTCTGAAATGAACCGTTATTTGCAATGCTGAATGTTAATTCCCAAGATTCGCACTTGGAATGTGTCGAATTCGTGACAATGTGTCGCCTTACCTTACTTCGAACCTTCACGGAGCCATCGTAAACCATGTCACAAATCTTGATGAATGCATCATCGAGAAGTCGAATCTGCTGTGTTTTGCCATCGTCTAATACATAAGTCGTCATGTGTTCGGGATAAATGGTGCTCAAAACCCTGGGCCAGTGATCGTAGCATGAGGATCTTGAACTTACAAAGCAAATTACGCGTATTATCAAGATTTTCGCTTACCATATTAGGCTCAATGCTTCAATTCGAACTTCTTCGTAATCATCTGACAAGCATGTCACACACATGTTGTACAACGATCTGTCAAGCTTGCAGCCACGTAGATGGAGCTGAAGGAGCGCCTTTAGCGAAGCCTAAACGATTTTTTAAAAAATTTTTATTTATCAGAATGTTTCGTAAATCATAGGTGGAGTAATGAAGACATACACTCCGCACTCTCGGATCCGGATCACTACCGAATCTACGAATCACATCTCGAATTTGTAATCCCTTCAATTCATCCAACACCTCACCAAAATTTTGATCATTGTTCCTTTCTATTTGATTAATGATGGGCACCAACGATGACAGTAAACCGATGCATGCAGACCTAATACTATAATGTGAATCGGTTAGGTCTACATAAGCATATACACACAACGACTTAATTGTCTGCAGTATCAATGGTGAAGAATGTACAGATTCTATCTGTAAAAAGATCAAGGATACGAATAAGATTTTTTAGAATAAATCTCATTCGCAGAATAAAATCATTTTATTTTACCTACCTTCAGAATCTTTCGAATAGAATTGTAGATACAACACTTAATTTCTGTTGAATTGGAATTTATCTGTAGAAAAAGCAAAGTATGTTATCGGTGATGTTACCGTGTAACCGTAACCGACAGAGGCCAATGAATAAATGAACATTCACGTGATTCATAAAATCGTCAAGTATTTCAAATATTTTGGCACAATCTATTGGAGGCTCGTTCGCCAACTTTTCCATGAGTATTATGGCCAGGCTCTAAAACAGATGAGACACCAGTTATTGAGAGAAAGAATCCAGAAAACCACATCATATAGTAAATCTTGAGATATCGGGTGAGTGATCAAACCTTAACATCTTTTTCTCTATCGTCGTGGAGAAGATTCCGGAGATGTTCAAGTAACTTCAACCTCTTCACACCGTTCAAGATTGGAAAGTACTTTGAGAACTTATGCAAAGCCTATTATGCGAAAGACTGATTAATAGCATGTTGCGCATCACATCGGATATGAAAAAAGATGACTTTGAATCTTACGTGAATTTTGGTTTGTAATTCTTGCGAAGATAACTCGTCAAAATCCACCGGCAATTCTTCTAAACTCGTCTATGTGAGGAAATAGTTAACGCACGATTCTCGTAAGAAGAAAGGAGGTTTTCGATGAACTTTTATGCGAACCTGGTTTTCATCAAATATTAACCTCGGTGGGGATGCAGCATCAACATCCATGAGTTGATCCAAAGAAAACTCGGGACTTGCAGATCGAATCGATGACGATTCATCTACACCAGGTGACATTGGCTCATCATCGTTTGTGCATGAAGGAGGCGGAGTTGGAGTAACTGGTTCCATCTCTACAAGCGTTATCTCGTCCATCTCAAAGCTAGAAGGTTCCGCATCCATATGCATCATCTCATCTTTATCAGATTGCGAGCTTTTTCCCACTTTTATGGAGCCCTTATCTATGATATTATTATTGGTCATCGAAGGTATGTAGTCGACAAAACTCGAAGAACCTGGTGGGCCGTACTCCACATTTGCATAGCTGACGACTCGCGTTCTATTAGAATATACGAAAGTTGACATAGAGGAAATTAATTGTAACGATGTGAAACCAAACCTTTACCTAATTGGTATGGAATGATTTGTTACATCCGGACTAGAGGTAGGCAACGTGTCTAGACCGAACGATCGCTTCATTGTGATTTAAAAACAGCAAACTCACGTGATATAAATATGAAAAAAGAAATGTGAGGGTGGATATAAAAAGGACTTGCCCATTTTTCGGATGAATTTATACTTTTCTTTTTTTTGTGGCTTAGAACAAGAATGCAACTAAATTTGGCAATTCAAGTGAGTGAGTGAGTGGTGGTTGGTTGGTTGCTATAGACATTGTGGTACAATCATTACAAATTTAAGAATCGCGTCTCGCGCATACATCTAAACTAGAGGTTTAATCAATACGAACTTAAGATGGCAAGCAACAAAATAGGAATCGAAAACATGGAAAACCCTCACGAAGAACAACAAAAAATGTTATTGGGTAGAATTGTTTCTAATGTCGTAAGTCTTGAATATTCTTTTGGTCATATATAATAATTCGTTCGCGATTTTACGTAGTCGAAATCCCACGCGTCCTTTCCCTATTCGGTCACCATTACCAAAAAATACATATAGTTCAACAAAGTTTCTTTGTTTCGCATGAATGTAAACATCACAGAACACTAATCTCTCTAATGCGCAATAGAAAAAACTTAATGACGTATTAGAAGATATGAATGGTCGCATTCAAGTTCGTATATTATACATCAAAACGATAAATTCTTTTGATTGCTTAGTACTATTTTTCTTAAGCAACCAATATTCCTTACCTCTTATTATTATAGGAAATTAATGAATATAATCGGGACATAGTTATCCTTTCGCAATTCTGGTCAAATTACAATAGAAATATCACCTTTAATCTTGAGAGCATGCACAAATTGGCAGACCCTATGTAACAATGTCACAGCAACAGAGCGAACGGTCGAAGTGTAAAGGAACGAACGATGGAGTACATTTTTTTACGCCCGAAATCGGGACTTGTAGAAAGTCGGAAGCAAACTTGATTTAAAAAGTACTGATATTGCCTTCCAAATAACTATTATATGGTCATATAAATTCGTTACTTTATCATAAAATGTCCAACAGTTCGATGAAAGAATCTTTACTTTCATATTCCTACCAATGCTTCCTGAATCGACCAAGCATGACTATCCAGAAACCTGACTTCTAAAGTTATACGGTACAATGTCCAAAAATGTGATGCCATCTCAAATGATGATCATGCTGTTCTTGTTGGTCTAATGCAGTGTTTTGTGCATATGTCAACAACTTATGATTACCCGGAATAATTAAAATCTTGAGTGGTCACGAAATCAAACCAAACACTGAACATTTTTGTGCATCCGTCGATATTTCCGAAATGTAAAGATTAAATTAATTAAAATTTGAGAAGAAATAATAATATTTTATGCAAGTTTAAGAGTACCCATCTAACAAATGAAGCATCAGTTTTCATCCTTCGTAGAAAGTCTATTGCAACATAACTATTTTATAACTAAGTCCACCGCAATGCCAAAAGAAGATTGTTATTAAAGCAACCTTCTATATTACCTCATATAACAAATGCACTAACCTATACCTTATGATGAACGCCAGAAAGCTGGCCAATATCTGTGTTGCCATTACCAGAATGGTCAATTTTTTCTCATGCATAGGTCCAAATTTTAACAGTAATAGGTTTAGTATTGTAAAATTGTTAACTTCAATATAATCCGTGTTTTCGTCGTTTTCATCGTCTTCTTTATCTAACGCATTACCAACACTATCATTGTTGTTATCATGAATATTGTTTCTTCGTTGTTGACCATTTCCAACTTCATTGTCGCTACCAGTCTTTTTAATACCTTTAGTATCACTGGCACTGAGATCTGTAACTTTAACAACTCCGACTATTGAAAAAATTTTTAAACATAGAAGAGCTGGAAGGTTCAAAGGTTTTTTTATCTTAACCCTACTGTATTCTAATTTTTGTGTTTTAGGATTAAACCTTTCGTGGAAAGAATCAAGAAATTAGAGTTAAGATGCACAAATACAAAAATGAATATCAATAATAATACTTACCTTGGCATCCTATGCCTTGGACACTTGATCAGCTTAAACAGTTGTGGCACAGAGTAGATAAAATTAAATATTTGTGGTAAGAAGAATAGCAACATTGTTTTACTAAAATGCGCCAGTATGCCGACAACTGCAAATGTCATTCCAGCGAAATAACAGTAGGTATCGCCAACGAAAACTTTTGACGGGTACCTTTGCGTAGACGGGAATGTTGATTAATAAAATCCATATGTGGAATTTAAAATTTTGAATTTCTCGTGCAGGTTACGCTTAAACTTACCAATTATGTATGATCAACCCAAGAGATACGCCAATAAATGGTAATATAAAATATAGTGAAAACAAATGTGCCTCAACCGCGGGATCAGCGCCATTCAAGAACATGAGATCATTAATAGCAATTGAGCATGCTATTATTAATGATTGTCCAATCTCCACACCATTTATTCCTGATAATATGTTGATGGAGTTTGTACAAAATACCGCCATCATGCTCATGTAAACATAATATAGAAATCCTATTTTCACAGACGGTATGAGAATTATAAAAGGCACGATTTATTCTAACCAAGTCACGAGAAGAACACCTACCCAAGTCAACTATTCTTCCAAATAGAAATCTTAATGGAATGGGCATCATAATATGGGTCTCACCAAAATTCACATAATAAACCATCAATAAGGGTATGGATGCTATGGTCGGTAACATCAGTTTATATCGCCACCGAATGTCAAACAAGTCATCGGATAGCCCGAGGAATGTCATCGATTGCAGGGATAACAGCGCTGATAAAAACTCTCCCAACTATGATTGAAATTACTTGATTATTAAAAGAAGGTTGATGGCAAATATAATATCCGATAACTTCAATAAATTAGTAATAATACCTTGTGGTGAGGAAAAGTAGGAAAATGAAATCCACCAATTCTTGAATTCTCGTCTTTGCCAGTAAACCATTCCATGAAAGGAAATGGTATAAATAAGAATAAACATACTAGATACACTGTTGCACACACAACTCCCATGCTTTCCGGTCTACGTTGTATTAAGAATGATCAAAAATAATTCGCCGATTGCAATTTGCCGAGTGTCATTCGAGAAAGAAGGAAACAAAATATCTACTATACATAACGGGTTTGTTAATTTTATTAACATCTTTCCCAACCAATCCAGCTTTGGTGAAGCTTCCTTTAAGCGCGGGTACGAGTTTCCACGTTATCGCACAGCCGAGTATCGAAAAACCAATCGAAGCTGATAACGGATCGTGTACAGTGTTAAAGATGATTGTTAAGGACAGCAGGATCACCGCCGTTAAAGTCAGGGAGGCTGTCGTGGTCAGCATTTGAGTGAGTTGTTGTTTAAGTTGATTAATAATGCATTTCTTTTTATGTCAGTGTTAAAACGCGAATTAGAAAGAAACACGCGGATGTAAGTAAAATCGACAATGCTATGTGGAACAAGGTTTTCGATTTATCCGTTTTCGTCACATTAATGAGTTTGATTGACAAATTAAAAGCCTTGCCACATACAGTAAGTATAGTAATGCAATTCCAAGCGATCTGATTGGATTGTCTATATATGGTATGTTTTAAACAAGTACTAAATAAATATACGTATATACTGTATATCTGTCTATAGTGGGCCAATAATAATTTTTTTAAAAAATATTCTTATATACAGGTTATCCTTATGATTTAATATGATTTTAATGTTTTATACTGTATTAACTTGGATCAGAATAAAATATGATTTTAAAAGGCTTTTTATTATATATTCTTATATACGGTTGATTATAAACAGATTCTACTGTATATTTTTCTATAATTACTAAATATATAAATTTTTATTTATAAATGAATTAATTATAAAATATAGGAAACATATATAAAATTTATAAAGTATAGAAGACAAAAAAAAAAAAAAACAAAATATTATAATTATATATACAATATGTTGCAAAAAAATTTTAAATTTTTATATTTTAAAATATATAAATTTAATTAAAATTATATTAAGATTAATATTTTAAAAAAAATTATTTAATTTATTAATTTATTATTTTATTTTATTTTCTAAAATATTTTATTTTTATTTTTATTTTTTTCCATAATTAAATAGGTATTTATTCCTAAAATTATAGGGCATTTTTTTATAACATTTAAAATTTTTTAATTAAAAAGTTACTTTTCATTTATTTTTTTAAATAATTAAAATATTTTTTAAAAAATTTATATAATATTGGTTTTAATTATATATTATC